AGATGCAATACCATTCCAGACAAATGGCTGTCCAATCTCTTTTTAAAAATTTCCAGTGATGGACCACCCACAACTTCTCAAGGCAAGCCGTTCCACTGGTTAATTGTTCTCACCGTTAGGAAATTTCTCCTTAGCCTTAAAGATGGCATCTCTGTATATAACAGAAACAGTGCCAGGATTGATCTGAATATGTTATCGCGGACTCCTCAAAGACACTGGACTGTTGTAGTCCTCCATCTCCCTCCACAGTTGTTATTAGTCAATAATAATAATAATAATAAAGTTGGAAGGGACCTTGGAGGTCATCTAGTCCAACCCCCTGCTCAGGCAGGAAACCCTATACCATTTCAGGCAAATGGCTGCCCAGTACTCGCCTGTATGCCATGTAGAGGACACCAATTTGGGCCAGAGAAGCAGGAAGACAAGTGATGCTTCTTGAAACATCTCTGCGTTCAGAGGAAGGTTGCAGCCAGCAGAGAAATATCAGCATGCCTTTGTAGTTGGTAATTCAATCTAAAACCAAAGAAAAAAAAAGGCTTGAGGTTACTACAAGAGAGAGGCAAGGAGAACGACTGTGTAAAAGACGTAAATTCGCTCTGCACATTTACTCATGGGACAGAGGTTACGTTTCTTGCGGGAGAACGGAGGGAGACATGCAAAACCAAGGATCTTTCCTGAACTTTTTAATAGTTTACCTTTTCAAGTTCTGAATTTCAGATCTCAGCTTGGTGGGTATTGAAAATAAATTCGAACAGGTTCTGTTGGAGAGACTCCATATACTGTAAGTGGAAGATGACAGCTAGTATCAAGCTGATCCCCTCCTGAGAAAGTAGGAAACCCACCGAGGACCTAAGAGTTATCCACCCAAACGGTAGATCATTACCGCAAGTTAAAGCACATCCTTACTCCATGCTTAAGGAGACAGCACACATGCAATTGAATTAAATAAATACCTGCACGTAAAGAGGAAAGTGTGTATGCTGAGGCAGTTTGAAATGACTTCTCCTATAAAGAGGCTGCAGGAAAAATTAAAGGGCAGAAACTCAAATGGAAAAAAAAAACGCCACACACAATAGCTCATGATTCACTTTATTATATCCAAAGAGGAAATGCGCCATGAGAATATTAAATCCACTTTCTAAGTTAGCTAGAACCAACTCTTTGCCTTAAATTCTGGGATTGTTGGTGAGGACCAGGGCAGAGACCGCAAATCTAAACATGTTTGTTTTCCTGCAAAGCCTTTGATCTGCTCCGGAAGACACAATTGATTTTAACTTCCAATTGTTGTTTTTTTCTTTTTTTAAAAAAAGTTGCTCCTTCTTATTGCCTTACTGTGAGTAACAAGAGTATTTTACTGTCCACCGCAAAGCTCATATTAAGCTGCGTTGCGAAACTGACTTGGAAAGAGCACTGTTTGTTCCATTGCATAAATAAACCAGCCTGTCTGGACACAAAGCCCTTTAGTTGGATTGTACCAAATGGATTGTACCAAATGTACTCAGACATTTAGAGAATCCAAGTTGGGGAAAGGAGAAACAAAGACTCCAGCATTGTCTAATCCAAGGTGATAAACCCATTCAGCTACACATCCGCATGTCTAAATGGGTAACACCTACCAAACTCACACTAAAAATGACACTATCACATAATTCTGAACAGTTCTCTAACCAGCCTCACTAGGTCAGTGAGTCTTACAGAAGACAGAATAACAGAGCTAGAAGCAGTGGTGGGATTCAGCCAGTTGGCACCAGTTCGGCAGAACCGGTAGCTAATTTTTTGTTGCCCAGGTCCAGAATGGACTTCCGGAAGCGGCATCCACACAGAGAACCGTTGTTCACATATTTGAATCTCACCACTGTTGGAAGGGACCTTGGAGGTCTTCTAGTCCAACCCCCTGCTCAAGCAGGAGACCCTGTACTATTCCGGACAAATGGCTGTCCAGTTTCTTCTTTAAAACCTCCAGTGATGGAGCACCCACCATTTCTGAAGGCAAGTCGTCCCACTGATGAATTGTTCTCAATGATAGGAAATTTCTCCTTAATTTTAGGTTGGATGTCTCTTTGTTAAGCTTCCATCCACAATACTCCAATAGTGCCTCCAATACTGCCTTCTGATTTTAACCATACCGCCTCTTCTGAAAAACGTCTGAATGATGGACGGGTTTCTTAAACAAAACAAAACTTTTAACTGCAGAACTTTGTACAGGAAGAAAAATGGTTTTTTTTCCCCCTTACCCGTCTCCTGTAGCGATCTTCCTCGTTCCTTTCGCTCACACCATCCAGCAAATCCGTCTGAACTCGCTGCAAACTCGCCTGCAAAAGCAAGCAGCAGCCTGTTCTTTGACAGAGGTCAGAGGCTGGGCTAATGCTGCCCAGATGTGGAGGCAGCCCAGGCTGTCCAGAGTCTGCTTTAAGGAGGGGGGGAAAAAAAGAGAAAAGAGCGAAGTGGCGGCGCGGTGGCTGAACAACACACTTCCCAAAGAGGCTCAAACAGCTGCAGGGCTGCAGAAGCAGGCAAGGGCCGGTCGGGAGTCTTTCCAGATGTGCAGCCCGGAAGATGTCTTGACGTGCCAAGGGATGGTTGCAAGATCAAAGCAGCCGGCCAGCCAGCCAGCCAGCCGGGCGGGCGTGCTTCTTCTTCTTCTTCTTTGAACTTTTTAAGTACAACAGCGTGGGAAGCTTGACAGCTCAGTTTTCAAGTTTGGGAGAAACTCTAGCGTAGAATGGGTTTGTTTTCAGATGTTATGGCTGCTCCAACACTGGAGGTTTTTAAGAAGACACTGGACACTTCTTTGTCCGAAATGGTAGATGATAGAGCTTCCCGTTTGGGCAGGGGGTTGGACTAGAAGACCTCTTCAGGTCCCTTCCCATTCGGTTATTCTGCCTCCAACTTTAAGAGGCAGAGAGGGACGGAGGAAGCCCGGGAGGAAATCTTTATTTATTTGCTCGCTCGCTTGTTTATTTAAACGGATTGTCTGCCCAGCTCATCCTGGACGGCGTACAAAATGACAAGGAAAGGAGGGGGGGAAAAAAGAGAGGGGGGAGAAACTAGCTAAAAAGCAATAAACAAACAAGTAGCTCGGACTACTGTAAAGATGATCTAATCAAGAACAAAATAAACAAGACGGGTCATGAGACGAATAATTGCAAAAATAAAAAAATGCCTGGGAATCAGGTCTGGACAGGCCCTCTTTTTTTTTTTATTAAAATTTTTATAAAATTTTACAATATAAATCTCCCCCTTCCCACCCTTCCACCCCCCCTCCCTCGCCAGTGCCCCCCTCCCTTCCCAGTGCCAATCACAGGGTTAACAATAACACAATCATACTCTAATTAACATTAATCAACTATTAAAATAACATATCTGTAACCTCCTTTAACTCTCTTTTAAACAGTACAATTATTAAAAACAACACTAATAACACTTTAATAATTAAAAATAATACTAAATAAAATATTCTAACCTTTAGACAACCATAATATTCCAACATTTACTCAAAAACCAAATGATATTTTTTAGTCCCATATTTACGCTCAATATAATCTATCCATCTTCTCCAAACCAAAATATATCTTTCTTGGGACAGGCCCTCTTTTGAAAGTTTCAAGGAGGAGCTGGATTTGGCCAAGCAGGCAGACATTCAACAGGGATAGCCTGGATTCTGCCAAGAGGGGGAAGGCTGGATTGGGCAGACCCGAGAGGCATTTTTTGCAGCTGTTGATGCAAAACCGAGCCCCG